TGCCCAGCTAATTTTTGTATTTTTAGTAGAGACGGGGTTTCACCTTGTTGACCAGGATGGTCTCGATCTCTTGACCTCATGATCCACCCGCCTGGCCTCCCAAAGTGCTGGGATTACAGGCGTGATCCACCGCGCCCAGCCTTAAAGTCCATTTTATCAGAGAATAGGATTGCAACTCCTGTTTTTTTTTTGGCTCTCCATTTCCTTGGTAGATCTTCCTCTATCCCTTTATTTTAAGCCTGTGTGTATCCTTGCACATGAGATGGGTTTCCCGGATACAGCACACTGATAGGTTTTGACTTTTTATCCAATTTGCCAGTCTCTGTCTTTTGATTGGGGCATTTAGCCCATTAACATATTGTTATGTGTGAATTTAATCCTGTCATTTTCATGCTAGCTGGTTGTTTTGCCTGTTAGTTGATGCAGTTTCTTCATTATGTCGACGCTTTTTACCATTTGGTACATTTTTGGAGTGGCTGGTACTGGTTGTTCCTTTCTATGTTTAGTGTTTGTTTCAGGAGCTTTTGTAAGGCAGGCCTGGTGGTGATGAAATCTCTGAGCAATTGCTTGTTCATAAAGGATTTTATTTCTCCTTCGCTTATGAAGCTTAGTTTGGCTGGATATGAAATTCTAGGTTGAAAGTTCATTAAGGATGTTGAATATTGGCCCCCACTCTCTTCTGGGTTATAGGCTTTCTGCTGAGAGACCCACTTGAGTCTGTTGGGCTTCGCTTTGTGGGTAACCCAACCTTTCTGTCTGGCTGCCCTTTATTTTTCCTTCATTTCAACCCTGGTGAACCTGAGGATTATGTGCCTTTGGGTTGCTCTTCTTGAGGAATATCTTTGTGGTTTTCTCTGTATTTCCTGGACTTTATTGGCCTGCCTTGCTAGGTAGGGGAAGTTCTCCTGGATAATATCCTGAAGAGTGTTTTCCAGCTTGGATTCATTCTCTCCATCACATTCAGGTCCACCTATCAAACGCAGATTAGGTCTTTTCACATAGTCCCGTATTTCTTGGAGGCTTTGTTGGTTTCTTTTTACTCTTTTTTTTTCTAATCTTGCCTTCTTGTTTTATTTCATTGAGTTGATCTTCAACTTCTGATATCCTTTCTTCTGCTTGTCGATTCAGCTGTTGAAACTTGTGTATGCTTCTTGAAGTTCTCGTGCTGTGTTTTTCAGCTCCATCAATTCATTTATATTCCTCTCTAAGCTGTTTATTCTCGTTAGCATTTCGTCAAACCTTTTTCCAACATTCTTAGTTTCTTTGCGTTGGGTTAGAACATGATCTTTTAGCTCAAAGAAGTTTATTACCCACCTTCTGAAGCCTGATTCTGTCAATTCATCAGACTAATTCTCCATCCAGCCTTGTTCCCTTGCTGGTGAGGAGTTGTGATCCCTTGGAGGAGGAGAGGTGTTCTGGTTTTGGGTATTTTCATCCTTTTTGCACTGGTTTCTTCCCATATTTGCGGCTTTATCTACCTGTGGTCTTTGTGGTTGGTCATTTTCAGATGGGGTCTCTGAGTGGACGTCCTTTTTGTTGCTGATGAAGTTATTTCTTTCTGTTTCTTAGTTTTCCTTCTAACAGTCAGGCCCCCCCGGCTGTAGGACTGTTGGAGGTCCACTCCAGACCCTGCTTGCCTGGGGATCACCTGCAGCAGCCTCTGCGTTTTTGCTGGGAACTACAATCCAGAGCTGTTCCTATTCTGTAATCTTGCCCTCTTCCTTATTCTTAAGGAACAGAGCCTTATGGTAGCGTGGCTGTTTATAGGATCATCTGCCTTCATTATTGGATATCTGCTGGCCCCTCTTTGCCAGCCAAGCCCCTTCTAACACTGGTGTGCACCACTCACACCCCACATGCTTACATACGTGCATGTTACACACCACATACCACATGCCCATGTATGTGCATGTTCTGTCCTACACAGACGTGTGCATATGTACATCTCACACTGCACATCCATGCATGCATGTTCCCAACTGCGTATATACATGCATACATACATGTACCACACTACACACATACTGTGCACACATATACCATACCACAGTTCCCACTAGAAGGGTGTCATGTCTGGGACCCAGAGCACAGATTTGAAAATGATAGAGTGAATGAACACTCTGGGTCTCTGTAGAGCAGCTTATAAACTGTGTCTGTCCATGTGGGCAGTTAATTAGGTAATTTTTGATTTGAGTTCCCAAGTACCTGGAAGTTTGGTTAAAAAGCAGTACCTAAAATTTGTACAGTTTTTGACTGCATCAGCAGAGAAGCCTAGAGCAGCTGTTTCTTTTCCCCAGACTGTCATTGAGGATGACTGCCTTCCCATGGACCAGTTTGCTGTGCATCTGATGCCGCATCTGCTAACCTTAGCAAACGACAGGGTTCCTAATGTGCGAGTACTTCTTGCAAAGACATTAAGACAAACTCTACTAGAAAAAGGTAGGTAGTGGCTTTACTAGAAGCAGCGTGTGAGTAGGGAATGATATCTGTGGACTGTGCTGGACCAACACATACCAAAGTAGAAGTATTATCTGCTCAAAGAAAACCATCTGGTGGAAGGAAATATTTTAGTTGTTCTGGTGGTTCTCTCAAGAGGATGCGGAAGATTAAAGGGATTTTTAATTAGTCCTCTACTGTTCTAGTAGGAGTGTTTTTATCGTGGACATGTATCATTTTTAAAATTTAAAACTTAGTGGGTTTGTTTGTTTGTTTGTTTGAGACAGAGTCTCGAAAAGGAGTGCAGTGGGGTGATCTTAGCTCACTGCAACCTCTGCCCCCCAGGTTCAAGCGATTCTCCTGCCTCAGCTTCCCCAGTCGCTGGGATTACAGCCACCCATGCCTGGCTAATTTTCGTATTTTTAGGAGAGATGGGGTTTCACCATGTTGGCCAGGCTGGTCTCGAACTCCTGACCTTATATGATCTGCCTTCCTTGGCCTCTCAAAGTGCTGGGATTACAGGCATGAGCCACTGCGCCCAGCCTAAAACTTAAGTTTTTAAAATTGGGTATTCTCTTTATGTGCAAATTATTGCCTGGCAGCCCGCCACTTACAGTCTCCAGTGTGGGGCTGGACCTGTGTTTGCTCTCCCTTCCTTCCTTAGGCGAGAAACAGATGCCCCATAGTATTTGTTTTGCTGGAAATTATAATCTCTTCAAGATTCAAGGTGGTTTATTTATTTTAACCTACCCCCACCAGAACACTTCATAAATATAATTGAATGCATGAATGAAGCACATAAAGAAGTTTGTAGTAGATGTCAAAGAATAAGGACAAATGAATATTGCTTTTTTTTTTCATAGTTGGCATTTGGAAGTGTTTTTCTTTTACTGCTACTTAATATCTAAGAAGTGTGATGTTTTCATCTGTTTAGTCATTTAATATTCCTTAGCTGTCATTGAATATCACGAGACTTAGTCTTACGAAAACAAGATAAATTTCACAAATCTTTTTATTCTGGCACTTTTTCTTCCTATAACAAATCAGCTTGGATTACTCTTTATGTTTCAATGTGGCTTCTGTGTGTACTTGTAGAAATGTCCTGTTTTATAATGACTAAGAACTGTTTATACTCATACTTGACAGAACTCTGAAATGTTCCATTACACTGGTTTCATCTGTCCCGTGCATGTGTCATTTCCAGACTATTTCTTGGCCTCTGCCAGCTGCCACCAGGAGGCTGTGGAGCAGACCATCATGGCTCTTCAGATGGACCGTGACAGCGACGTCAAGTATTTTGCAAGCATCCACCCTGCCAATACCAAAATCTCTGAAGATGCCATGAGCACAGCATCCTCAACCTACTAGGCTTGAATCTTGGTGTCTTTCCTGCTTCCATGAGAGCTGAGGTTCAGCAGGCGTTCCACACGCATGTGACGTGGGATAGCTTTCGGGGGAGGAGAGGCTTTCCTCTCCTGCAGACTGAATTGCAGGTGCAAGTTGCCTATACCCAATACCAGGGATTTTAAGAGTCAAGAGAAAGTACAGTAAACACACTATTATCTTATCTTGACTTTAAGGGGAAATAATTTCTCAGAGGATTATAATTGTCACCGAAGCCTTAAATCCTTCCGTCTTCCTGACTGAATGAAACTTGAATTGGCAGAGCATTTTCCTTATGGAAGGGATGAGATTCCCAGAGACCTGCATTGCTTTCTCCTGGTTTTATTTAACAACCAACAAATGAAATTCTTACAGCTGAAGGCAGACATGTGCCCGGATGTGAAAGAGACCTTCAGTATCAGCCCTAAATGTTCTCTCCCAGGCAAGGACCTGCTGGGTTCTGTGGCCAGCTGTCCAGCCCAGCCCTGTGTGTGAATCGTTTTTTTACTTCTCCTAAGGGCTTGATGCTAACATAAAAGGATTGACTTTAACTCTTAAGTACAGCACATTGCTGTACACATTTACAGAATGGTTGCTGAGTGTCTGTGTCTGATTTTTTCATGCTGGTCATGACGTGAAGGAAATTTATTAGACGTATACTATATGTCAGGTGTTTTTAACTTGATCATGATCGGCTCTAAGGTGCAACTTCTTCACATACTGTACATATCTGTGACCACTCTTGGGAGTGCTGCAGTCTTTAATCATGCTGTTTAAACTGTTGTGGCACAAGTTCTCTTGTCCAAATAAAATTTATTAATAAGATCTATAGAGAAAGATATATACACTTTTGATTGTTTTCTAGATGTCTACAAATAAATGCAATTTGTGACCTGTATTAATGATTTAGTTTAAAATGGGGAAACTAGATTAAAATATTTGTCTTTTAACTAGTTTATTAGTTTCTTTTAATCTGCCTTTGTCCCTGGGGTTGAGTTTTGCTCTTGGCAGTAGCAGGTGCCTCTTGGGTGTTCTTCCTGCTCCTGCCCGCAGCCCCAAGGGCAGGTGGGTGCCAAATGTCTGGCGCAGCTTGGACACGCCCCACTGAAGACGGCAGTGGGGGTTGCCTTGAAGCTCCTGAGACATAGTCAAGCATCTCTGAGTCTCAATTTCTTCATCAGTAAAATGGGAATTAGTAAAACCTGCCCTGTTTCTCACAGGGTTGCTTTACAGGCAAATGAGATCCTGTTTGAAGGTGGTTTGTAAAGTGCTATGTGTATATATGTAAAGTGCTGTGTGTATATATGTAAAGTGCTGTGTGTATATATGTAAAGTGCTGTGTGTATATATGTAAAGTGCTGTGTGTATATATGTAAAGTGCTGTGTGTATATATGTTCGATGTTCCTGCCCGGTTTGAAAACCTCGGCCTGAGTCCCCTGGTGCTTCTGTGAGTTTTGGTTTTATTTACTCAGCCAGCAGGGACTCCTCAGTAAGTCAAAATAAGTTCCTTTGAACTTCAGTATGGGATTTGGGAATACATGGGCTGCCTCCTGTCTACACTATTACAAGTAAGCCTTTGGCTGCTGCTTTTTGCATTATAACCCAGATATTTACACACTGCAAATATAAGAGTGAACAAATCCCACTGGGAAGGATGTTCAAATGAATAGATAAATGCATAGGTAATATGTGAAGCGGGTAATGGGGGCAGGGCTGGGGAGCAGCTGTGAAGGGTGTGGGTGGTCTCCAAAGGCCTCTGAAAGCAGCATCGGAGGAAGACCTGACCCCTTGATTTAGCCTCATGTTTGAGCTGCATATTCTCTGTTATTATATACTTTTGGCACCCAGTATTTCAATTCTGTAAATTGCATTAGTATCATAGACTGATAGCAATATTTTTTAAAAGCAGTGGCTATGCTAACATGGTGTATTTGGGGATAAAGAACTTGAATTTAAGGTGCACTAGAGCACCTTGTAAAGTTAAAAATGCAAAAAGCCCATTCCACTCTGCAGCCTTCATGCAGCCTGTCCTACCAAGGGACATCCTTCGACACCCCAGTTAGGTTGTAAAGTGCTCCGAAGAGTACACTGCACTTGTCAATATTTCAATGGCACTGAATCCAAGAGACGCCTGCATTGACAGCTTTCACCTCCTGCCGTCAAGGCATTCCAGTGTGAAGACTAATAGAATTCAAAGTAAGATTGGAGTGTCACCCTCTTCATTTCAACTCTTAGTACTTGCCATGACGCCTTCTGTAGCTGCTCTGAAGAAGGTGAGGTGAGGCGGGCATGTTCCTGGCAGCAGGAGCCAGCCTGTGTGCGACAGGTGTCCTGGGTCCTGTCTCACATGTGGCCTCTACTTACACAGGATCTCCTAAGGGAGGGAGCTGGGATTCCAAAGCCAGTATAAAGCCAAGAAATGTGGAAATCCCCAACAAGATGAAAGTGGAAACAGCAACTAGTATTCACAATTTTTCCTTTCACGATATAAAAATAAGGTGGTAAGCTGTCTTTGAGGGTATTTAATACTGTGTGGCTAGTCTTTTTTTTTTTTTTTTTTTTTTTTTTTTTTTT